CTATCTATCTATCTATCTATCTATCTATCTATCTATCTATCTATCTAATTCCAGTTATTCTGTGTAAATATTTTCCCATATACTCATATACATTTGACATTCCCTGTCACACTTTCTCAACTCTATCTGCTTCACAGGATTGTTGCTCAGTGAGTGAGTGCTATGCACCGAAAAGGTGGGCATAAGTCTACTAAATTGGGGCTGTGGTGACTCACAGGGCTAGGATGCTGAGAAGATGTTTTAGAGGTCAACAGCTCCGCTGTTCAAAACTCGAGAGTGAGACGCTTGATGGAATGAGCTCCCATCAATTTGTCCCAGCTCCTGCCCATCTAGCAGTTTGAAAGCATGCAAATACAAGTAGATAAATAAGTACCACTTCAGTGGTAGAATAAAAGGGATATGAGTCTCCTCTGGTATCCCCTGGGAATGGTGATGTCACAGGCTTCAACCTTTCAACCCAGAAATGCCTTGGTCTATGCTTCTTACCAAGTGTTAGAACAAACTTAGCAATGGCAAGAGTTATGCTGGCCTCCTTATCTATTAGTAAATGTTACATAATAAAATTATTCAATCTATCCCGGAAATGAAGAACTGTTAGGAGCTCTTTGCATATATTTCAATAGAAAATTACAGTATAAAGGTATATCAGCTTGTGTGATATCAGCTTGTATATCAGTGTTACCATCTTTACATGGACGGAGCCTTCTGCATATGAAATTTCCCCTCCAGCTCTGCTGATAGTATAATACAACATAATAATGTAAATGCACACCAACATTTATTGTTTGTAAGTTGGTCTACATACAATGCTGCTTTGAAGTGTGCATTGCTATGGCCCAGTTATACTCTAGGTGAGAGTTTCCTATATTCTGTTTCTAATGGTAGATCAAGGATTTTTTGCTTAAGAACCCATTGCCTGATCTTGTCAGGGCATGAATGCTTACTTTGAAAATCCCAAAATAAACCTTTAACCAATTTGCTTATTTCTGTCATTTCATGCTTTCTGATTGGATATTTTAGATATTTGGTTTTTTCCCCCAAGGCAACTCATAGTAAATAAAAAAAAAAAACTAAGCAGCCTCTGCTGTCAAGATTTTTGTTTTTTAAAAAAGAGACAAGACATAGAAAAGGAAAACAGCTAAAAGTTAGAGTAAAAACTAGAACCGAATGGAAAGTGATGGATATAATTTCAGTCCAAGCCAAGCTGCTTTTCCTTTGGTAATGTTTATTCTTATTTGAGCAGCAATTGATATATCTTCTTTCTTCATTGATGGATGGCTGATTAGTCCCTATCTATCTACCAAAGACCCAGTCTTCCTGCCCCTAGTTCTGAGTCCCTGAGCAACTGCCAAGAGGAATTGATATGTAGGAAGTGGAAAAACAAATTCCCTTTGGCCTTCTTCTTTAGCCAGATTAATTTCCTTCATAGCCTATTGCTCTTTTTCTGAAGGAGATGACAAGAACTGCAATATTCATTCATCACCAACCAGTGGGTGCCTTTGTAATAAGGAGAACATAAAGGATTTCATAGATCAAAGAGACCCCATGATGTGTTCAGCAACACAGCAAGCAGGTTGATTCTACTTACAAACTCAGATTTATAAATAGAACATCTCATAATTTCAAGCTAGCACACAAAAAAAATTCTAAATAGGATATTTGTCATATTGAACTTCTCCCTCATTATAAACCTAGGACTATGTGTGGATTTTATTCCAAAATGGTACTTTGGAGCAGACAAGGATTTGACCCAGGTTGCATTCACACCCACCCACCCCCATTTTTTATGTGTTTTTTGGAACTATTTGAAACAATGCACAACCATACTGGCATTCACGAGTCTCTCATGCACACTTTCAAAAATGCTTTATCCTTCCTTTGTCATGATGTTGTCATGATGTTTTTATTTTGTGTGGAATACATGAATATATAGTCTGAAAATGTGTAGGAGTTCCTACAAATATATGCTCCCATTTACTTAATATTGAAGTATTTAAATGTGTTCTTATATTCTAGTGGCATGTTTGAAGACAATACTTATGTCTACCTGATGGAACCTTTGGAGTTAACTCACAGCATGGTATGTTAATACTGACCCATCTAGTTCTTGCTTTGATTTGTTGTAAAGGATGCAAATCCTAACAAATATAAATTAAATAAGGCATTATTATTTAGTCTGAAATATCATCTATAATAGGGGTCGCCAACCTTTTGGACCTCAGGGACCACCAAACTCAAAATTTTAAATCCTGGGGACCACTAGTATGACGGTGGCTTGCTGACATTGGTGGGAGAGAGAGAGAGATCTGATCTAACCTCTCCCTCTCTCCCCCTCCCTCCCTTTCTCTCTCTCTCTCTCTCTCTCTCTCTCACACACACACATACACACACACACACAAACACAGAGATTTCTTAACAACCGGTTCTGTAATTTCTTAACAACCGGTTCTGTGGGCATGGCCTAATTTGTGGGTGTGGCTTGGTGGTTATGTGACTGGCTGTGCATGGCTTGTATGTAAATATTATAAATATTTATATAAATATTGAATTTTTTATTAAAAAGAACAACTTTTACCCAAAATCAGGTAAAGCAGGCAGGCAGATTGAGTTGCTCACAGAATCACAGATTCATTCAGAGATCTGTGAAATGTTACCTGGGCCTGTCACATAAAATTTGCTTGCAAGCAAACCCATAAAATTTGCTAGCAAGAAAACTCACAAAATTAACTCACAACACACCATGTATGTAAATACTGATTTTTTAAATAAAAAACAGAGCAACTTTTACCCAAAATCAGGCAGACAGATTAAGTTGCTCACAGAATCATAGATTTGTTCAAAAATCTATCTTTCTGCCATCAGCTAGCTGAGTCTGTCACATAAAATTTGCTTGCAAGCAAACTCACAAAATTAACTCACAACACACCATGTATGTAAATGTTGAATTTTTTATAAAAAAAAAAGAGAGCAACTTTACCCAAAATCAGGCAGAGCAGACAGGCAGATTGAGTTGCTCACAGAATCACAGATTCACTTAGAGATCTGTGTTTCTGCCATCAACTAGCTGAGTCTGCACTGCTTTAGTCCTAAGGGAGGTTTGGCTCTGCTTAAAAGCAGAGCCGAAGATCTAAAGATTAGCTAGAAAGCAAGAAATCCAACGATTTCCTACTTTTTAGCTAATCTAAATCTCCCAGCACAGCAGAGCAGCTGATGGTCAGAAAAAGAAAGAACGGCAACTTTGCAGGCAAGTTTGCCAGGTAAGGAGTGAGTGGGCAGGGAGGGCAGGCCATGTGGGTGGCATAGCCTTGTGTTCTTGCGCAGCCTGGATTAATTGCTTTGGGGGGTGCTCTGGGGGTGACATTTCTCTGTGGATCACCAAAATTTTCTTGCGGACCACCAGTGCGCCACGGCCCACCGGTTGGTGACCGCTGATCTATAACACTGAATTTGAATGAATATTTTTACTATTTTTTATACCCTTTGTTTGATATATTTTGTAACTTTTTAGAAATATAACTGTAGCTGAATATGTTACTAAAACAAGGTTAAGCTAAATGTTAAATACACTCACACCACTCCTATAATAATGACATAATATTCAGGTGAGCTCAGTGCCATGTAAAGCATTTGGGTTGTGAACATGAAATCTAAGGACAAACCAGCAAAACTACATAAATTTAATTTTATTTATTTTATCAATTGTTATGGCCATCCAACTTTGGGTAGCTAACATTTTGAAAAGAAAAAGCAAAAATAACCAACAAAAAATTAAAAAAAACAGAGTAGAACTGAGGCCAAACCAGAGTCGAGTCATATTCACATAAATCATTGGAAGGCAGGCTGATCCAATGCACAGCCTTTGGGAGGAGCCAGGTTTTCAAAGATGTACAAAAAGACAACAAGGCCAGACCATCTTCATCTTAGGGAGGGATGTGATACTATTTCAAAGGGGAGGCAAAATTAGAGAGAAGGCACACCTCCAGGGGTCCCCCAGATAGCCTTGGCGGAACTTGAAACATGCTCACTCTTTCAGGGATAGAAAGAAGATAAGCAATTCACAAATAAAGCCATAACAAGGGAATGGATTGCATAAGCTGATATATTTAACTAGTTTATTTGTATATAAAATATTTATGTTATATGGTTGAGTTGAATATAGCATTTCTGAAGTTTTTTTTTTGGGGGGGGGGTTAATGGGCCACATGACCTCGTTTCATGCTTGGCTTTGGGATAGAATCCTGACTAGGATTTGAAATTCTGGCCATTGTTACATAAGCAGTAGAATCTTGAAAGGTCCCCAAACCAGTTTTTTCCCCCATCCTCAGAGCCTCCAGGAATGTTTCCAAAGCCTAATTTCCCATTGTTTGCAGAAAATAATAGTGAAATGAAATGGAATATGAAATGAAAATGGCTTATTTTAGGCTTAGACATTAAAAACAAAATTAATTGAGCTTGTTCAATTAATTGTCTATTTTGGTTTGATGTTCACCAAATCATTAATATATTAATTATTAATTATTCGCTCTGAAGTGAAGAGACTGTTCATTGGCAATTTTGATGGGGCTTTTTCTGGAAGAGCATTCTAGATGTTTCTTTCTTTTTCTCTACCTGGGAAACTAATTTCTTAGTTTTTGCTTGAGATAATTTAGAAAATTGCAGAACTGTTGGGCTTTTCTGCCACAGTGAATAATCTTGACCTCCTCCTCCTAGACTTCTTTCTAGAGATGTGTTCTAGTTCCAAAAATAACAGCAGATGCTAAAAATAACATAGCCTTTAAGAGCATCAAGGTAAGCTTTCACTATGATTTTCTTTAGTTATACAGAATATAGAAGCTCATTCACTAATGGAGGATTTTCCCATGGGGGTAGATGCATGACAGAAGCAGGGTTATTTTCTCTCTCTCATCATTATTATGCCATGTTGGTAGCCTATGGATTATTACAGGATGCTTTGCTTATCTTTCTAGGAGACAGAAGAATAAAGACATAAAGAAGACTGCAGCAAAAACTTCCTATTGCTTCAATACATTTGATGGCAAAGGATAGCATACATTGATAGGGGGTTAGGGAGTTATCATTGTATATCTAAATAACAACTTCAGTATTCCAAGTGCTGTTACATACATGACTAGAACAACTGTAGGAAAGATGTACAACATTGCTTTATAGAATTCCAAAGGTTCTCAGAACTTTTCCTTTAACAGCCCATTACAGCCATTTGTTTGTTACTGAATGCTAATATATTGTTAGAGATAAGGGGTGTTTAATTATTTGAACTAGGTAAAATCATCAATGCACTGATGATGTTATGTAGTTCAGGTAATGAAATGTCTTCAAGAAAACAGCCAAGCTCAGAGAGCATCAAGACCCCTCATTTCAACTCTGAGCTACAAATATTCTCATTGACTGATTGTTAGAGAATTAAATATGGAAAACTATTTTAAAGGCATGGAATTATAGTTTTAAGTTCCAATTGGAATTGACTTAGATTCCCCTTTATATTTTTTTATATAGCATTAGAAGACTGAGGACCCCTCCAAAAACAATATACAAAAATTCAGTAGAAAATATGGTCAGGGTCCACCCAAATAATAGCTAACCATTAGGAGAGGAGTTCAGTCCAGTTGCATTCCTGGTAAACATCTAAAGAGAAATATTCCACAATTTAATTTGTATCATTCAAAAATACAATTTCAGGTTTCTACGTATACAGGCTAAATTATCTAGCCCATATTACATATATAAAGATATTGAATACATATACCCACATACCCACACCACATACACACACCACACATACTTATGGATAAGCCAAGAATGTTAGGTTCCAAAATACATCCCTGAAACAGAGTGCAGCTTATCCATTATATCTATCTGTCTGTGTCTGTCTACTATCCATCTATTTATTCGTCTGTTTTCCATCTACATGACAATATCATACTTAAATTTATGTCACCAATACAATATTCTATTTGGTTTTTCTTCTTTTTCTTCTTCAGAGCAATGCAGGTAGACCACATGTCATTCGGAGAACATTTGGATCAAATGCCTTCAGTCAGTTGGAAGATCTTGGTATGACATAACTGTACCTTAGTAAGATTTGTTACTATAACTCTGTTAATCTGTAAATAATTTAAATGGCACTTCTACTAGAGAAATGATTAGTATAGTTAACAGAAATTTACCTAGTAGTATGTCATGATATACCAGAAACTTTCTCAGTTTCCATGTGAAATTAGATAATCAGTGTAATTATTGTTGTGAACAGCCACTTTTCTAGATTCTTTGTGACAAGCTTATAGTTAGACTATATTAGAAAGCTCTTTACTCTGCTATATTGTGTGGCCAACTTATGCCATGATATGTTATTGAAGATTAACTCTCTGAGTGAGTTGTCCTCTATACAATGAAATACAGTGAGCAAACTCCACATATATCAAACTGAGTCTTAAAATCTATTTATTGAAGAACAGTAAGGAGCTAGTTCATAATCAAGACTGACATTTTTTTCTGTAAAATTAGACTGCAAAATACTGTAAACAGCACATTTTCCAAATAAGAATGTATCTAGTAAGGTATATATAAAATTGCCCTTATTTTTTTTTGTAATGCCAGCTGTTCAATTGCTCCCATATTTTGGAGCAACTGTAATTTGTATACAACCTTTAGAATAATCCCTATGTTTACAATGAAATTCTTTTTACAAGAAAGGAAATAGTTAATTTATCAATCCATAATCATTATATTACATGTTGCTGGTAACTGCTTTCACTGGAATATGCAGGAGGTTTGAAATGGGAAGTGTTTTAAAATCATTTTTTCTAGAAGGATGATTTTATGCAGAACAAATACTCTCAGAAGACATCAGAGATAGGATTGACACTGTGAATAATTTGAATAAAGTTTATCATCCCATCATTATCAACTCAGGCATTTGGAGACGAATTTTCATTTATGTGAATAAAGTTGAGGACTGAATACTAAACTGGGTTTAAAGTAGCTTGAACATGTTTGGCTAAAATTAGCAGATCTAAAGTTTTACCAATATAAGGGGAAAGGGCCAATATGTTTCATTAGATAAAGGTGCAGATGCTATGTGGCAAAATAGAAAATTCTTTGCTATTAATCTCTAGATACTGATTCCACATCGGATTGGTCCTTCCTGACTGAATTGCAGTGGCTAAGAAGGAAAAGAAGGGCTGTGAGTATTACGACGTCAGTAATACTGCATCAGATCAAAAGATCTCTCTGCTTTTAAAAGACATGGGAAAACATGTGAAATGTAGCACTGTGCTAAACCGTAGCTTTCATGCTGAAGTGATTTGCACTGCAGGAGATCATTTATTTCACCTCATAATTTTTGTGATGGCACAGGGTGGGATACAAAACAAACACAGTCACAGAAAACAGGTAAAGCCCCTTTTATTTATTTATTTTTATTTATTTATTTTATTTATTTTTATTTGTGAAGCCCCTTTTATTCCTTCACTTTGCTTCCAAGCTCCGAATATCTTTGACGGAAGACAAAAAAACTCCCACATAAACAGTTACACAAAAAAGGAAAAAAGCAACACAAACCAGGCAAGATAAGGGCTGGAGGATGTCCACAGAAAACACACACTGGGAAGGACGCCAAACTCAGAGAGGAACTATAAACTAGAGATATTTACAGGCTTTTTGCTGCTGTTTATGTAACATGGCTTTAAATACTAACAAAACACAAACCTTTTTGAAGAAAATTAATATTTAGAAACAAAGATTTACAGTATTGAAAATGAAATCTCTAAATACTGTCATTCAAAGAATGAATTTTTATGAATGCAAATAGATTGTTACGCACAATCCAACTGATGAGAAGTTCAAGAGAATTTAGCTTTCTTTCCATCAGTAAGAATTCATATGTAGCATTTTGTGATATTCATTTGCAAATATATAGATCCTGTACTTCTGGTCAGGGATTCCAAAGTCTATATGTATTTTGGAAAAGAAAACCAGTATCACAAAGTACAATGACAAACAAACAAACAAAGTTTACAACTTGATCATATTCCCAACCTTCTTGGGAAGGCTGCAGCCAACAGATTGCATACATTTTGTTAACTTTGTGTAATATGGACTCTGAATGGCTCAGAGAGGAACAAATCAGAATTGACAGTTATAAATATTCCTGTACCAAAGAAATGGGGAAACATCATATCAAACCTGAAAATATGTTATTTATTTATTTATTAACATTTATCTATATACAGTGTGTAAAAGCGAAATACCACTCAGGTATCATCACAAAATCTCCAGAATTGTAAAGCCTACAAACTTGAAATTTGGCATGTATGTTCCTCTTGGCTTCTAGGTGCTCACTAAGAAAGAATTTTTCGAAATGACCATCAGAGCATTAGTATTTCCTATATTATTATTAACACGCTCTGATGCTAAGGAGTTCTACTCCCCCTCCCCACCTAAAAAGAAATCTCTTCAAAATGTAAAACACAAGCAGGGAGGTTCAGTTTTAGTTTCACAGCACCAAGCAGCTTTAGTACAGAACAGTTGAGCTAAGCCATGCCCAGGCTCCTTGCTGTCTTCTTCCTCACACAGCAAATACTGTTTCAGTTTCCAAACAGCCCTCAACTCTCTCACACACTGACAGGATGCAAGCCAGATGAATACCGATGGATGTTGGTAGGCAGAGGCAGAATTCCCCCCCCCATTTTCTTCCCCCAAAACGAAACCCGACCACATAGTTTTATAGCGAGGTATCAAGCTAGTTAATCAATATTAACTATTAGCAGAAAGAGATTCATACAACACTAAAGATGCAAAATCAGATTCTGCATAGTTACAACAGTATGGGCTGGTTATGCTTGTCCCAGTTTTTGTTCATGTGCTGATTGTATAAGTTATATGTTTACATAAGCTGACCTTTCTTGAACATACATGTGTAATAATGACAAAAGATATGAAGTTTCTCTGAGTCAGACCATGATTCTACAGGTGACGCTCAAAAAATTAGAATATCATGCAAAAGTTCATTTATTTCAGTAATGGAACTTAAAAGGTGAACCTAATATATGAGATAGACTCATTACATGCAAAGCGAGATAGTTCAAGCTGTGATTTGTCATAATTGAGATGATTATGGCTGACAGCTCATGAAAACCCCAAATCCACAATTTCAGAAAATTAGAATATTGTGAAAAGGTGCAATATTCTAGGCTCAAAGTGTCCCACTCTAATCAGCTAATTAAGCCATAACACCTGCAAAGGGTTCCTGAGCTTTTAAATGGTCTCTCAGTCTGGTTCAGTAAGAAGCACAATCATGGGAAAGACTGCTGACCTGACAGTTATGCAGAAAACCATTATTGACACCCTCCATAAGGAGGGAAAGCCTCAAAAGGTAATTGCAAAAGAAGTTGGATGTTCCCAAAGTGCTGTATCAGAACACATTAATAGAAAGTTATGTGGAAGGGAAAAGTGTGGAAGAAAAAGGTGCACAAGCAGCAGGGATGACCGCAGCCTGGAGAGGATTGTCAGGAAAAGGCCATTCAAAAGTGTTGGGGACTTTCACAAGGAGTGGACTGAGGCTGGAGTCAGTGCATCAAGAGCCACCACACACAGATGGATCCTGGACATGGGCTTCAAAATGTCGTATTCCTCTTGTCAAGCCGTTCCTGAACAACAAACAACATCAGAAGCGTCTTACCTGAGCTAAAGAAAAAGAGAACTGGCTTGTTGCTCAGTGGTCCAAAGTCCTCTTTTCTGATGAGAGCAATTTTTGCATCTCATTTGGAAACCAAGGACCCAGAATCTGGAGGAAGAATGGAGAGGCACACACTGCAAGATGCTTGAAGTCCAGTGTGAAGTTTCCACAGTCTGTGTTGATTTGGGGAGCCATGTCATCTGCTGATGTTGGTCCACTGTGCTTCATTAAGTCCAGGGTCAACGCAGCTGTCTACCAGGAGATTTTGGAGCACTTCATGCTTCCTTCCACAGAGGAGCTTTATGGGGATGCTGACTTCACTTTCCAGCAGGACTTTGCACCTGCCCACACTGCCAAAAGCACCAAAACCTGGTTCAATGACCATGGGATTACTTTGCTTGATTGGTCAGCAAACTCGCCTGATCTGAACCCCATAGAGAATCTATGGGGCATTGTCAAGAGAAAGATGAGAGACATGAGACCGAATAATGCGGAAGAGCTGAAGGCCACTATTGAAACATCCTGGTTTTCCATAACAGCTCAGCAGTGCCACAGGCTGATAGCTTCCATACCAGGCCGCATTGAGGCAGTAATTTCTGCAAAACGGGCCCAAAACCAAGTATTGAGTACATATGCATGCTTATACGTTTCAGAGGTCCAATGTTGTTCTATGTACAATCTTTGTTTTATTGATTGCATGTAATATTCTAATTTTCTGAGATTGTGGATTTGGGATTTTCATGAACTGTAAGCCATAATCATTTCAAATATGACAAATCATGGCTTGAACTATCTTGCTTTGCATTAATGAGTCTATCTCATATATTAGTTTTACCTTTTAAGTTGCATTACTGAAATAAATGAACTTTTGCATAATATTCTAATTTTTCGAGTTTCACCTGTATTTAGTCAGTATCCAGATAATTCTTCATCCTTCATGGTTATTCATCATCTGCCCCTGTAGAGGAAATAGCTTTCATATGTATTAGGGGTGGGCTGGGTTATACTATTTTCTAAAGTTGAAAACCCTACCTGTTGTATCTGATAGCAACTCTGTTTTTGAAAGCATCTTTGTCATGCTCATTGGCCTTAATGGAATTCCCATCTAACAGCATGACAGGACTGATTTTAACCTATCATCTAAAGCAGTGGCAAACCCTTTAAAATATATATATTTTACTGTTAAAACAAGAAAAATTGTAGAAAAAGAAGAAAAAAGCAACTATATCTGTGGCTAGAAAAATGGAGTTTTGCATCCCCAAAGAATTTCCCCCTCTTTTCATTTTGAGAAAGATTGAAAAAAGACTGAATTAGATATCCCCCAGTTAAATTAATACAATATAATTTGCTCTTAGGCTTTGGTAAAACAGACTTAAGAACACAGTGCGAGTTATCATGACAAACAGTATAGCAAGCTATTTTAAAAATAATCTATTCTTTTTATAATTTACAGGCAGCGCGTGGCGTCTTTGAAGAAATGAAATACCTAGAGCTCATGATTGTTAATGACTATAAAATGGTAAGTTGATTCTATTAGTTTTTTCTATACTTTTTCAAAAAAAATTGATTGTGAAAAATGCATACATACTTAATAGTAATATAGATAATTATACTTTTGAATAAAGAATTCAGGAATGTGCACTGGGAAACTCTTGGAATAAGACTACTTTCTGGGTATCATAACAGCCAGGCTTGGATTACTTGATGCCTCTATATCCAGTGTTATTTCCAGAAATGCATCTAGGAAAGACCACAAAGTTGATTCATTTTGGTCCATTTCTTTGTCTTTCTCAAGGCTTGGTTCAACATTACATCTGTCATGCAATTAAAATTATGTGAGGGGACTAGAAGGACCTTAATCATCTTCTTTGCCTTCTTTATCCTATCCTACATGACCTGTCTCCATATCTCTGAGGGTTTTAGGGTTCAAAATGACTATTCTCTTCATGCAAGGGCCAGTCCTATCATTAATCAGGATGATACCTCATGTGAAACCAATGCATATAGCAGAGATTCCCTGTCTTAATAGCTACTTCTCAACTGTCTTAAAATGCTGGTATTAAGGCAGTACTGAGTTGAGGTAATCTAAGTCGATAAGGCACTGAGATATGAATCAGGAAGTGCCTGATTACATTTTGTTTGACAATTATTCTAGGCAAGAAACTCACTTTCAGCCTCAGATTTCCATCTGCAATATGGGAATAATAATACTGATAAAAAAAATTCTGTCAGGATTGCTGCAGTGTCTCTCTACGAGGTCAGAAATTTGATGATATTTGTACATGATGTTGGAAATTCATCATGTTTGCTTATAATCTGAGAGTACAATGTTTGGAAAGATCTGGAATTTTTTTAACTCTTTTGTCCAAAGATTAACAAAATATATTTCTTGATGAGGATCTATTCTTTTTTTTAAAAAAATAAATTTTATTTGAGTTTTCACAAAAAAAATACAAATAAAACATCTTTTTTGAAAGTAGCATAATCCCGGGTTACATTTCTTCGTACAGACACAAATTCAATTTCATGCTCATTTTTATGTTCTATTCCATATCTTATTACTGTTTTACATTTTCTGAATAGCTTCTCCCCTCTTTTAATTTTCTCAATTTTATTTTAATTATCTCGTCTCAATTCAAATCATTATATTTATATTTTTTGTCTGTCCTGTTTCAATTATCTATTATCTTTTCTCATTAAACAAAGTTTCTCCTGTAGTTACTGATTGGAGTATGATGCCTTTATATCTTTTAAGTTTATCCATTTAACTCTTATTTAGGCTTGAATATATACCCTAAAGTTATAACATTCAATATAATACATAACTTCCATTCGGATTCTGCTTGGTACATTCTTAAAATACACACTATATTCTTAAAAAAAGAAAAAATTATAAATATATGTAATTAAAACAACACATTCCATTCCAATTCAATTCTATCATTAATATTAATATTCATTAAAATCTTAACTTCTTTAACATTACTTTTCAATTAAATATCATACTTCTATGGGAACAATTATAAGCTTTCCATAATTAATTCCCCTCCCCTCTTCACTTATATTTTATAAAAAATTAACTAATTAAAATGTTCCCGTCCCTTCCTAATTCAATTTTCTCATTTATTTTATTTCACTTATTTTATTAACAAACATTTCACTAAATTACACTAACTATTTTATCCCTCATTTTAATCATACATTGTTTCCAATTTTCTAAAGTTATTACTATTACTAATATAACAATACAATCTTATGTACCTTTACAGAATCCCTTTTTCAGTTAAATTTTCACCCATTATCTCTAAATAGGTCCTGTTTCTCTATATCTTGTTCCGGTCCTTTGTAACTTCTTTTCCTTTCCTTCTTCCCTCTCTTCTTCTCTCTCCCCTTTTTACCCCCTTGTCTCTCTACCTCTATTTCTCTCTTCTGTATTCCCCTCTTCTGTTGCTTTCCAGTATTATACTTATTTTTTGAATTATTATTTTTTCTTTGGTTTTAAAGTTTTAAAGTCTTAAATTCTCCATTCTCTTTCTCCACTTTCCTTTTTCTTCCCCACATAGAATTACTTGTTCATTAAAGATGGCTTCTTCTTTGTCCCAGTCTTCTTGTTTTGCAGACGTTTCTTGTTGTTTCTCATAGTTCCAAATCTCCATTTCTAAGAATTGAAAAATGAAGCCAAAAGAACCCCTGCCTTCTTGTGCATCTTCTTTATACTTTTTAAGTTCCATTTTCAATTCATCCAGGAATAGTGCCATTGTATAAATTTTTAAACAACCACCCGATTAATTTTAGTCATTCAAATGCAATAACCAAGAATCCAAAGATCACCAAATAATCCAAATACATGCAAGCTGTTTCCTTTTGTTCTTTTTTCCCCACTTTCTCTTCCTGGGGTTCTACTGCTTAGTTACAAAGTTTCAGTTAAAATGTATCTTTTAGAAGTCTTGTTGAAGCTTTACTATAGATTCTTTTTAATTCCAGGCAGTCTCCTCCTCTCTTTCCAGATTCTGCCCTTTTATTCTTTTTCTCTCCTTACCTGCTTATGAAAAAAATTTTAGTGTCCAGAAATCTTTATTATCCCTTTGACATTTTGTTTTATTTTCAGCTTAATTGCCTGTTGATGTCAAAGCAGATTTTTCCGATTTCTTATTTAAGTCTCTTAGTTGTCAGTATAGGGAAAGGGAGAGAAGAAAAAAAAACCCAAACCTTTCCTGTTCCACTTTCGTTCGCTGCTTCCGACTCTTCTTTGGGAGCGATGTTATTTTTTTGTAAGTTTAAATTCCAGGGTACCTTAGTTGTTGCTTTTGCAATTTAACCCAGTCAGCCAAAACTTTCACTTCTTATCTTCCTCCTGCACATTCTTTTCTGGTCGAGTTCTTCTTTGAGGTGGCCATTTCTGACCACTGCTGCAACCGCCTTCAGGAAAGGGAGTAATGGCCAGCTGAGGAGGAGAAATGCGGCTCTCCTCAACCCTGTTGGCAGTCTGCCCCCTCTTCACCACCTCTATGGGGTGGCTTAGCCCTGAAACCAGCCAGCTCGGGGCGCTCCAGCAGTAAGCCCGGACCGAAACCGTGCACGATCGTGAATTTCTGTCTGTCGCCGGAGGAACTCAAACCGGAAGCGCCCAGGATCTATTCTTTTCATTTGTTGTGTCCCAATGATTTTAAATGGATTGTTTAGATAGTTACCAGGAGTCAAGACTGACCAGAAGCACTATGTATAAAAATGAGCTGGTAATAAATAATTAATGTTAACAGGCTTCATTTATAAGAAGAGTTTATTATTATTGCGAATAAAACTTTAATAGTAAACTTTCTGCAAGATACCCAGATATCTAGTTTTCTTTCTATTATTGCAAATTTAAGGCAGCTAAGCACAGTCTTTTTCACAGAACATTTTGCACTTGAAATAAAAAATGCATTGAGTTATGTGCCACAGAAGGCTTGCAATCAATAATTCGAATTATAAGGGGAAGCTATTGCAAATATATGTTTTATGCTATTATTTGTGCAATTGACCTTTATCAATACAGAGCAAAAATGTTCAAAGAGAAATATTACTGGGGTTGCTTCTTTTTTAGACTTTGCCAGGAAGCAATGAAGTTTAATTAATGTTTCAATTGGATTATGACTTAACATTTTTCTCCTAGTTCAAAAAACATCGGTCATCCCATAGTAATACGAATAACTTTGCGAAATCGGTGGTAAATCTCGTGGATGCTGTAAGTATTGCTATAGTCAATAAAATTAATAATACTGTATTCAGTTCAATAGGGAATGATAAAATGAAAAGGCAACATTTGTCTCATAATTCTTTTTATATTAAGAACAAAAACTAATTTACATCAGTAGCAGACTTGCTGTCTATATCCCAATTTTTGTATTACTCAAAAGAAATACCAAAGTTTGTAGAACTACAAAAAAACTTTGAAAAGAATCCTTACTGTAGTGTAGCAAGGGGGGCAAATGGTATTGCCTAAGTCATGTTGTCACCATGCAATGGACATAAATTCCACAATTTGTATCATTTGTGGGATATCTTGACATATATGATGTAATCATGGCTTCAACCAGATACCTGTGCTACCATTCACATATATGTACTAAAAAGAAACAAACCCTTTCTATCCTAGAAAGAAACATTCAGTATCCTCTGAGAATGCAGAGAAAAGAAATTCATGATTTTGAAAAATGATTTTCTTTGAGTTTTACAGAAGATATTCTTTCTTTTGTGAGGTTACAGAATCAGTTTCCTGTAATGTTATCCTGTGTAGCACCCTGCACTTGTAAGCTGCCAGTGCTAAAAATGAATAAATAAATCTTTGAAAAGGAAAAGACAGAATGCCAAGAAGAAACCCTATCAATGAACTCTTTGAAAACTGCCTTACAATACTTCCACACAAGCTTTCTTTAGAGCTTGATAAATGCAGTGCGTTGAATAAGCCATCTCACAATGCTAGATACTTTCCGTTCAGTGCAACAAACACTTCAGTTTTTTTGTGCAGATAAAGACTTTCTAGATAAAAAAAATAGAATTATTTTGTGCAAGTCCATTGTGCCCATTCTTGTCCTATTATGAAATGAGCCTGACAGAATGAAGATAGGGACAATTCTTTGAAAAAATGAAACCAAGGATTATTTGTTTAAATAGAAAATTTATCTGTGATGTTACCTTGTTGTGCAAAATATATAACTGGATCACAGGATATACTTACCTACCTATCTAATGGAGATTATGATTGCTCAAAATGCAATTTGAAGAATGAGTGAGTTTATTGAAAAGGTATTCATGAATTCAAGCAGAAAAAAGCAAGAATTCTGTTTCCAGATGTTTGGAGTTACAACAAACTGTTGTTGTTCTGCTCACTTCAAGCACCCATGTTCAGAATTATTAAATTTGAAGTGTTTAATTAAAACAAAAACAAAATCTCACAGTCTGTCCATTGTCAACTGTTTTTATGATTTCCTACCACAAACTATATAGTAAATATTACATACGCATGTGCTGATAATTATGCATATTGTGGTATTGACATTACTGTAAATTTAATGGAGTATTGATTATTAGGGAAGTATATTATCTAATTATATTCCAATGTTTCTCTCCTACTTTACCCTGTTTGTCTTTCCACTGACTGATTGGCTAACTGTGCATGTTTGACCCAGTGTTCCACTCCTGTGCTTGTCCTGTCTCTCCCTACAGATATACAAGGAGCAACTAAACACCAGAGTTGTTCTAGTTGCTGTTGAAACCTGGTCAGACAGAGATCGTATTCATGTCCATGCAGACCCAAGGCAGATGCTTCATGATTTTTCCCGATATCGACAGAACTTCATCAAGCAACGTGCTGATGCTGTACATCTCCTCTCGTATGTAAAAGGAGGAGAGATGGTCTGGTCCACTGTTCTTCTTAAGAGGCTTAAGGATCTGTAGTCATTCCATCCTCAGGTGTTATTAATACAGCACTCTTGACTCACCCAATGAATTATCAGGATTAGCCAAAATACTTTTAGAGCCACTTTTTCTGTTAGATATTATATTAGCCTTTTGGGGTTTCAAAACTAGAGCTTAATTGATCAGAACATTTTCCTTATTGTTTTGTGACTTGGTTAATTGTACCAAAATTAAAATAGCTTTTCACAAGATTCCAAGAATTATTTTTATATAGTACAGAGATATATCTTATTCAGAAAAATGTTATCTCAATTAGGAAGCCTTTTTTCCAGGCAAGATATTTTACTGTATATTCTCTCACTTTTACATTTTTGCTTATTTATTTCTTCCTATGATGTCTTCTAAAATTGGAAATAAGTTACTTAACCCTAGCCAGTTTGGTGTAGTCATTAAAGTGCTGGCCTAGAAACTAAGAGACTATGAGTTTTAGTCTCATCTTGAGCACAAAACTAACTGGGTGATTTGAGGCCAATTATTCTCTTAGCCCAACCCACCTCACAGGATTGTTGTTATAAGGAAAATAGGAGGCAGGATGAATATTAGGTATGTTCATCACCTTGAATTACTTATAAAGGCAAGATTTAAAAAAACTTCAAGGGCACTCGACATAGAATTACTATGAGTATCCAGTATATATCTATGAATATTCTACTTTAATGACATTAAAGAAACTAAATAAAACAAGCCCATGTTCTCATAATTTATATTATACTATTTCATTTGAAGAAAATGATATTAATATTCTTCTTTTATCTGTCTTGTTCTGAAGGAATGTGACATTTCATTATAAAAGAAGTAGCCTAAGCTATTTTGGAGGAATTTGTTCGGTGGCTAGAGGTGTTGGAGTAAATGAGGTAATAGTTCTGTTTTGAAGAAATGTATTTATTTATCCAATTCATAAAGTCTCATGAGTATATAAGAAGTCCTTGATTACTGACCACTCATTCAGGAACTATTCAAAGTTGCAATGATGTTGAACAAATGGTACTTGGCTGTTGCATTCCCCCATGACCCCCATGATCATGTGATTGCAAAGTGGAAGCTTGGCAACCAGCTCACATGTACACTTACAACTGTTGCAGTCTTCTAGGTCACATGATTACCATTTGCAATATTCCCTGCCACCTTTTCACAATCACGGCCAGTGCGAAATCTGGCAGGAATTCAGGAGTAACTTCCACACTAAGAAAGGATATTTTGAAATGACCATCAGAGCATTAGTATTTCCTATATTATTATTAGCATACTCTGATGCTAAGGAGTTCTACTCCCCCTCCCTACCTGAAAAGAAATCTCTTCCAAATGCAAAACACAAGCAGAGAAGTTTCTGTTTCTGTTTTACTTTCACAGCAGCCAACAGCTTTACTACATAACAGTCGAGCTAAGCCACGCCCAGGATCCTTGCTGTCTCCTTCTTGCTCACACAGCAAATACTGTTTGACTTCCAAACAGCCCTCTGATGCTACTCTCCCTCCCCACCTGAAAAGAAATCTCTTCCAAATGCAAAATACAAGCAGAGGAGAGGAGTTTAGTTTCAGTTTTAGTTTCACAGCAGCAAACAGCTTTAGTACAGAACAGTTGAGCTAAGCCATGCCCAGGCTCCTTGCTGTTTCCTTCTTACTCACACAGCAAATACTGTTTGAGTTTCCAAACAGCCCTCAAGTCTCTCACACACTGACAGGATGCTAGCCAGATGAATACCAATTGATGCTGGTAGGCAGAGGAAGATTTCCCCCCCCCCCACTTATTTTCTTCCTCAGCTCAGACAAATCCGTTCTTTCTACTGTAACATCAGTTAAAGGGAAACGAGGCAAAAAATGCAGAAAAAGATTTACAGATGCAATTAGGAAAACACAAGTAAGGGAAGCTACACACAAGTATCATCAAAGTATCCCCATGTCAATAGACCGGCTGTAAAAAACTATATAACTAATAACCCCTACGTTCATCAGTTGTAAATGAAATCAATGCCTTGGACTAATAAGTATTTGTCTGGTTTTCAATATGAACCTCAGATTTATTATTCCAGGGAAAAGGTTGTTGATCTGAAACCTTGGTTACATTGTGCCTGGTCCCATGCTCTAAAGTGGCAGGATGAGAGTCCTGGGATGTGCTGCAGTAGCAGTAAAGTCCACCTCCCTCCCCTTCAGTCCTACCCTAAACCTTTACACAGCCTTCTCACCCACCAGCATCCAATGGAAAACCACTTTCTTTCTGCTGACCGGAAGTACAACGGATGCTTCCAAATGATGTCTTTTGGAGCCAGAGAGGTGAAGGAGGGAAATTTTATGCCAACATTCAAAGTGCAGGGGCAGGTCTAACATAGGATAGGGAGTATCATGGCAGGGCATCAGCAGCAGCCTTCATTTCTCCAGATATACTTTGTTGGTGACGATGACAATCTGAGAATCATCCGTTGTGAAATCTATCGATTCTATATATATATAAAAGCGAAATACCACTCATGCATTATCACAAAATCTCCAGAACCGTAAAGCCTACAAACTTGAAATTTGGCACATATGTTCCCTTTGGCTTCTAGGTGCTCGCTAACAAAGGATTTTTCAAAATGATCATCATTAGTATGTCCTATATTATTATTAACATGCTCTGATGCTAAGGCGTTCTACTCCCCCTCACCACCTGAAAAGAAATCTCTTCCAACTGCCGTTCAGCTAAATCAACCCAGGCTCCTTGCTGTCTCCTTCTTGCTCACACAGCAAATACTGTTTCGGTTTCCAAACAGCTCTCAACTCTCTCGCACACTGACAGGACGTTAGCCAGATGAATACTGATGGATACTGGTAGGCAGAGACAGATTTCCCTCCCTTATTTTCCTCCCCAAAAACTTGCCCAATCGCATAGTTTTGTAGCAAAGCACGGGTACCCTACTAGTTAGTAAGATATTTCCACAGAAATGTTAGGATCCAGTTTAAGTTATCTACAAAAGAATATAATGTTTATTTTTGGTCACTGACCAGAATTGCAAACAGAAACACATTAAAAATAGACATAAAGTAAAATAAAACAAGATAAAAATGTCTACAAAATTTTGTGATGGAAGTTTTATGTTAAACTTATAATAATTTGCATTTGCCTCTTTTTTCACCCTAATTTAATTGAGGTTGATCTTTCCCTAATAGTATGGGCTTTCCTGGGCAATAGCACAAGAATTGTCCCAAAGCTTGGCTCAGAATCTAGGAATACAGTGGGAACCAGCATCCAGAAAACCAAGTATGTGCCAAGTCTCCTGTTATCAAACTAAATGTTTGTATAGTTTTATATTCTCTAAATAGAGCTAATTATTTTGTTGTCTAAGAATCTTTTAAGTCAATTCAAGCAACTAGATTTCTCTGCACACGCATCATTTTGGGTCATGCATGCTCATGGAGACAACTTACCTATGCAGTCACTAGAAGTCAAAAATAATTTGATGGAACATAATCACTTAATCAATCATGCGTGTCTACACAGACATACAGTAGTGTCTTAATCTTTTCTTTGTGAGAAGAGATTAGTTCACTCATTGCAGTCTTTCAGATGTGAATGTGGGATTCCTTTATACTTATCAGATATACTATTCAAAATGCAAAGATGTGAAGAGTGAAAATACTGTACTTACTGTATTTGTTCTCTATGGTGTATTTTGTTGTATATATTGTCAACTAATTTTATTCTCTCTCTCTCTCTCTCTCCCTCCCTCTCTTTCGTTTATGTCTTTTAAGAAGGGTGCGATTGTACAGAATCCTGGGGTGGATGCATCATGGAGGAAACAGGGTTTGTAGTGATAATTGATTCTTATACACAGTACAATTATTGTTTAAATTTTGCTCAGGCCAAATTTAAAAAATGATGTGGTTCATAAGAAGAAACATTCATTCATCTTATTGTTTTCTGTTACAATAGAGGGAAAATTATTTTAATCATTTTTTTAAACCTATACAAAAAAACCCTATGAATTTATTTTATAAATAATTGTTTGTAAAAAAAGTCAAATAATTTCTGACTTTAAAGTCTTGCCTGTTTTTCTTATTTTTTCATGACAAGAAATTAGAAAGGATCATAGAAAAAGGGTATAATTTTAAAAGTAAAAAAAACAAGTTTAAATAGAAATAGTGTTAGATCAATAACTTGTTTTTTCTCACTTGCTTGTAGTAGTACATAATGCCTTATGCGACCATTTGTCTCTGTGTGATATTAACCATACTACATGGTCAAGTGAATTCAATTGAATATTGACTTGTTGTTTGATGAAAATTTCTAAATGTTCACTTGTGTATTCTCTATTCTGATTTGTTTAAACATAATGCAAAAATAAATAATAATTAGAACTTGAAAGTGAGCTGTTTCATTTCCTGAAAAATGGAGCTTCAGTAATAGATAAAAACAATTATACTAAAAATAGGGCGGAAAGGTAAGATTACTTTTCAAATCACAGACACCAAATTTTCTGTGACTTTTTAAAAAGAGCTCAGTGAAAGAGTTTCATATAATTGGAGGAGAAAAGTCATAGGTATAGATTAAAAATATAGTCCAAAACACAGAATATTCCATTTGTGGTTTGCCAGCTTGCGCAGAAAGATGTAGACAATTTTTTTTTTTCAAAGTGCCAAAACAAAATTCTAAATAAAGATTACAAATATTTATGTGTGGTCAGAAAAGCATGCTTTCAGACAGGGAGTAAGATGCTTAATCCAGTTTGATTAAACATACTTGTCTGAAATAAAGTAGTCAAAAATCTGTGTAAAATATGAAAAGTGGTTTAAAAAGTTGAACTATTAATATCTGCCACAAAAGTATGCTACTGTACTGATCTATTTGCTTTCAAAAAAACCTAGATATTTCTTTATGGATGTGCTATGAACCATTTCTTTAATATCTTGCTATTGTTTTATTTCAGTGTCTATCACCCCAGAAAATTCTCAAAATGCAGCATTGCTGAATACAGAGATTTTTTACTCCGTGGAGGAGGTTTTTGTCTTTTCAACAGGCCTACAAAGGTGCATTCCTTATAATCTTTTCTAAGGAAGGTAGCAAACTGGATGATGGTACATTTTGAGTGGATTGGGATGGAAATGGAGGAAAGAAAGGGGAAAATGTCATCTCTTCTTGCATACTACAGGTAGTTCTCAACATATGGCCACAATTGGGACCAGAACTTCTGTTACTAACTTCTGGTCACGTTAAGTGAGTCATGCCTGATTTTTGCTACAGTTGTTAAGCAAACGGGACTGTTGTTAAGCAAATCACATAATCATTAAGTGAATTCGGTTGCCCCTATTGACTTTGCATGGCAAAAGCTGCCTCAGAAAGTTGTAAATGTAAATATTTCGCCCTGGGACACTGCAACTGTCATGACTGCAAGAATGCTGCAATGGTTGTAAGTGCAAGGAAATGATCATAAGTCACTTTTTTCAGTGCCATCATAACTCCAAATAGGCATTAAATAAATGTCATAAGTCAAAGACTACCTGTATCATTCCTGCTCTAACTTACATCAAGGTTTAGCATAATAACAGAAAAAAAATAATAAATAATAAATTTCATTTGTATTTCAACATACTTCAGGACCTTCTTCCTCACCTCAGGATTTTAACCTCATAACAATGCTGTGGTTTAAGTTATAGTGAGATCCACAATTGAGTGAGAATTTGTGTGATCAATTTCATCTGTGATGATAGAATACAATAAATATCTATGATTGACAAATGTGTTAACATTGGTCAAGACCATTATGTGGCTTGTGATTTTGGCTTGCTCAATGTTTATGTATAATATAGACCAGGGGTTTGCAACCTTAAACACTCAAAGAGCCATTTGGACCCATTTCCCACAGAAAACACCGGGAGCCACAAAACCTGGGTGGGCGTGGCCAACTCGACATTACTCACTCCCACCCAGTCACATGACACCCCCAGCCATGCCTACCCAGGTTTTGTGGCTTCCTGTGTTTTCTTTTCTTGGGAAACAGGTATCTCTGTATGTGTGTCTCTCTCTTTCTCTCATCTTTCTCTCTGTCCTCTCTCTCTCTCTTTCTCTCTCTCATCTCTCTCTTGTCTCTCTCTCTTTCTCGTTCCCTGTCTCTTTCTCCCTCATCTCTTTTTTCTCTCTCATTTCTCTTCTCCCCTTTCTCTTTCTTTTTTCTCTCTCTCTTTCTTTCTTTCTCACACTCCCTCTCTCATCTCTTTCTCCCTCTCCCTCTCTCTCTCGTGTGTATGTGTGTGTCTGTTCCCTCTTGAACCATTTCCAAAAACAGGCGAGGGTTGGGTGTTGTCTTTTTTGCTGATGTTGTTATTTCTTCTTCTTTGGGTGCTTTTTACCATATGATTTAAATCAAGAGTCATTTCAGGTTCCCAGATAAATGAAGCTCTTTTGTCGCCCTGCTGTAGCTCCCTGTCAGCTGAACCCATTGCCAACTCCATGGCCTGCTCGCAGCTCTTGCAGCGCCATGCACAGCACACTTAAATTTAGTGCACTTCACAATGGGGGAGACAGCATCCCCTCCTCCTCCTGGAGCCCATTACGATGTGGAGCATGGGCTATAGCCAGCCCAGCCAGTGTCTCGGGGTGGAGAAAGTCATGTGTCTCCCTGAGTGGCTGAGGTGCATGCAGCACCAATAAGAGCTGGAAGAAGAGGCAAGCATAAGACTGCTTTGCTCCTGCTCTGGAATACGGAGCAAGTTTCCATCCGCAGCCATCACCCTTCCCTTCTCAGGGCAGGCGAGGAGTGAATGGGAGGGGAGGGTGAGGGGTGGTGCCAGCCACTGGTGAGATCATCTGACAGGGAGCCACAAGAGATGGCCCCAAAGAGCTGCATGCGGCTCTGGAGCCTCACATTGTCGAGCCCTGATGTAGAAACTATAGCTTGTTCAAAAGCTCTAGTTTAAAAAAAGCTAAGTGTTATGCTCCCTGCTTCCTTATGCATTGTAAGGATCTAAGAGTCACATGTAAACATCATCCTTTAACCCTATAACCTAATACCATGATGGCGAACCTATGCCATGCATGCCGGAAGCAGCATGCAGAGCCAACTCTCTGGGCATGCCAGCCATCACCTGTTGCTCTTCTGGGTTTGGTGTGCTTCACATGTGTGGGAGTACCAGAAACTGGAAGAGCAGCTCCCTAGAGCGCATGCACGCACCAGCCAGCTGGTCTTTGCGCACATGGGAGCGCCAGAAACCAGAAGAGCAACTCCCTAGAGGGCATGCATGTACCAGCCAGTCTTCGTGTACATGTGCATTAGAAACTGGAAGACCAGGTGGCCGGCACACATGTGCACACTGGGAAGCTAAGCTTCCAGTTTCTGGTGCTCCCATGCGCACACATCAAGGAGCTGCTCTTCTGGTTTCCGGTGCGTGCACATGCACACGCTCCCATTTTGGCACTCAGTGCTCAAAATATTAGCCACCACTTACCTAAAGATGAGGAATAAGTTGCTATCTCCTGTACTGTCCAAATTCCATGTCCATATTCTCTTTTGTGTTTGACTATGTCATAAATCTCCTCCTGTCAGTGGACAAATATTTCCCCATGGGAACTATAAAGCTCTCAGAATTGCAAATTGGCCTACTGATATAGACTTTGAATTAATGTTGGTATGATAGAAGCCAGTCTTTTAATATTCCTAGCTAAAAAGAACAATCGTGAGAGGGATGATTAAAATCTCAGCCTTACAAAGCTGTTGTTCACCTTTGTTCTAATCTATGCATTAAGATTAGTTTCATTTAATGAAGAGCTGTCTCTCAATTCAGTCAAATTCACAGTCTTTCATAAGTGAGAATAATACAGGATATAGGGTAAGAATATTTCCCTGGTGGTCTTACGTGTTACATATACTCACTTATCAGAAAAATTAACTTCGTAACCTATGTAAAACTGACCCAACTTACAATTATATCTAGGAAGTAGGAGGGTTTCCAGGAGTTATGCTTTATTCCCAAAGCACAAGATATCTTTGCTTTGGATTCAAGAGCATTCACTGAACATACTTAACATGCAATACCCTCATCTTTGAGAAACCACTTAAATCAATAACTTCCTCTTTCAGCAGGTGCTTTAAGCTTTTAGAGGTATTCCTATTTTGGCATTCTTGAAAGTACTCTTGGCTTTGATGAGCTGCAGGAAAGAGAAGAAAATGGCTCTTCAGATTGGAAGTCAGTGTTATTTATTCAATAAATTAGATACAGTAAGGAAAAGAATCACAGAGGCAACTGAACCACGTTCCTAACTCCTTTTAAGATAGATATTATTATCTATACTCAACATCTAAAGAACAGAAAATGGCAGAGCTAAATAAATATGTGAGATGAACAAGTTCCAAGTCAGCAGTGCAGTTCCTCTGAAGTTTTGCTGTCTATTCAATTACTCCTGAGAAAAATCTCCAGCAGAAATCTGCTGTTCATTTTTAATAACCAGCTTCAGAACAGTATTGCATAAGCATATATACCTTAAATATATACCTGAATCTTTTAATGATAGTTAGATAATAACATTTTTTCTTAAATGTGTGGGTTTTTTTCCAGTTGTTTGATGCCACTGAATGTGGAAATGGGTATGTGGAACCAGGCGAAGACTGTGACTGTGGTATCCAAACGGTATTATTTTCACCTTAAAATGAAAGCTTTAAAGTAGATAATTACTTATAAGGTGCTGTTCATTTTCATGGGGCATAAAATAATAAAGATAGTGATAGAAGAGGTTTTTGACTTCTATTCCTGCTCCCACTCCCTCCGAGATCATCTGAGCAGGAGTGGAAATCATCAGAACTCTCATTTGGTGAGTTCTCTTTTGCTTGGTATAAAGCTGGGCAGAATGTATTTCTTTCCTAATTAATCGGAGCTATGTTTCTGATCTTAACTTAAGTTATATACATAAATATTTTAGCCTAGTGGCATGTCCCAATATTAAAATAATAATCTTGCAGTCTGGGCTGAGGGGATTCTGAGCCTTCAGAAAAATAATCAGTGTTTTAAATGTTATTTATTATATTAATTATTTTGGTTTGACATTCTATAATATATCTGGCACATAACATAACTTATTCTGGGTGGTTGTTGATATGATATTACAGGTAGTCCTCAACTTACAACCACAACTGAGCCCAAAATGTCTGTTGCAAAGTGAAACATTTGTTAAGTGAGTTTTGCCCCATTTTATGACCTGTCTTGTCACAATTGTTAAATGAATCATTGCAGTTGTTAGAGTAGTAACATGATTGTTCATAGAACCTGTCTTTCTTACTGACTTTGCTTGTCAGAAAGTCACAAAAGGTGATCACCTGACCCCAGGACAGTGCAACCATTATAAATCTGAGTCAATTTTCAAGCAACTGAATTTTGATCGTGTGACTATGGGGATGCTGCAGTGATAATAAGTGCGAAAAATGGTCATAAATATTTTTGGGGTGCCATTGTAACTTCAAACAGTCACTAAACGAACTGTTGGAAGTCAAGGATTATCTGTATTCAGTACAGAGATTCACTACTATCAGTTTCAATCCCTGAGAGGTATGTTAGGTTGTGGCAAGGTACAATTCTAATAAATTAATAAATCAATAAATCTTAATAGGGAAACCTGTCATTGATTTTGCAAATGTGTATTATAAGCAAGGAATCATATATGCAAATGTAAACATCTATCTATGGAGCAGTACTTTCTAGGGTCTTTTTCCACTGTAACCACTGGTGCAATGTCACACTTTGTTCTGGAGGATCTTCTGTCTCTTAACAATATATTCTAAAAATGCACTGTAAGATCCTAGAGAAAGGACTCAGTCCTTCTCCATTTTGCAATAAAGTTCGATCAGCAGAAGTTAAATCACTGAATACTTTCATTCAACTTTTATCATTATTATTTATAATTAATATGTTACTGTCCAATAAAAGTTTGGAAACATATTGGCTCTTGGATCTGCTGATCAACATTGATTTGGCAAATTAAATTCCCAATCTCTCGTCATTTGGGCCTGAAAAGGTCCATTTTTTGTTTTCATTCCCGTTACCATATATTTTGAAACCAGGATGGTCTACCAAGTGGTCTGGCTGCCAGCAGTTGCTAATTTGTTTAATTCACACTGTGGCATTATGCAGGGTGCACCACAAGGAAGCAAACTAGCTTCACACCCCACATCAAACTGTAAATCACATCATGACTGGCTGTAAGCTGAGGACATATAATGGTTCAATCTCTGATTTTTTTAAAAAATTTAAAATCATGCTGCGTTTAAATGGTTAGAAAGCTTAGACATTAGCATTTGAACATAAAACATATATTTTATTATGTTTTACTAATCTAGGTGGAATGCTAATGTATGTTGTAGTCCATGTATGATATGCCATATGCCAAATAAATAATCATCATTAATATACTGTATACTTTTTAAGGACTGCCATGCAGAATGCTGTAAAAAGTGTTCCCTTTCTAATGGAGCTCATTGCAGTGATGGTCCATGTTGTAATGACACCTGCCTTGTAAGTTATTTTAATTGCATCTTTACTAAATGGCACTGAATTAGAAAATGTAATTCCATAAGATAAAAATAAAAAAAACTGAGCTACTATTAGGAACAAAGGCTCCTGGGCAGAGAGATACCACAACTTAACTGTTTCCCTGAAAATCATATCACCCCATCCCACCGGTTGCTTTTCTACCAATGAATGAAAATGATACTGTACTTGTATATGATTTTTTTCACCCAATTAAAAGGCTAATATTTTTTTTTAAAGTCTTAAATGCTTGGTTGTTACTTGACTGTTTTTTAACTGACAATATTTTGATTTTCAGTTTTTTCCACGAGGCTTTGAGTGTCGCTATGAAGTGAATGAATGTGATATTACTGAAATCTGTACTGGTGACTCCGGCCAGGTAATGATACAATGTATTTTGAATATATTAATACTGATTTATCAGTAAGGTGATCTCCTTCCCTTTCATTTGTGTAACAATACTAAACTTTCACCTAGGACCAAAATTTGAATTTGAGAAAGGTGGGGGAAAAAATACTTTCTATGTCTAAAACCTAAGCTGTGCTGATATACGTATTCCCAAATGATTTAGGATCCATATTTTTTTTTTAATTCTTGGGATTATTAATTCTTTTTTTAAATTTTTAATTTTTATATAACATGTAAAAATTCAATTTCAATCAAGCAGTGTGTTGTCTGGGTACAATCATTTTTAAGAAATCATAATCAAAATGTTTACAATAATATTCATCACAAAAATATTAATTCTATAATAACGTTAATATTTTACTTATCTACCTTAACAAGTCTCCTTTATAACTTCAGTCCTTTTTATATCTCCATATTTCTAACTTCTGCTTTTTATTATCTAACCATTGGTAAAATAATTCACCACCCAGAAATACCCTACATGAACAGAAAATGCAAGTAAATTCTAAGGGATAATTCCACTGTTTTTAAAGTAAAGGAATACTTTGCCTTTCAGTGCCCACCCAATCTTCATAAGCAAGATGGATTTGCTTGCGATTCAAATCAGGTAAGTTAAAACAGAGCCTGCATGAGCTTAGCCTATATCAGGACAGTGTTTTTGGAAGTTGCAACACTCTCAATTTCACTTCACAGGGTGTCACTCAGGGATGCTCACAAAGGTTATAGAAGCAGGCTAGGTGGCTATTAAGGAAGGGATTTTTCCCCAAACTGTCAGATATGTAAGAATGAATAAACAATTGTTCAGAAATTTTGGTTTAAAAATAAGGGGTGGGGGGGGCGGCGAAATATGTAGCATATGGAGCCATAAAACCTAGTGCCATCAGGCACTTAAAATGTTATATTTCTTCCTTCTCCTCCTTCCTCTCCCACAGTTATGAGATATATGGCTTCTGGTCACTTTTTGCATATTATTGATGCCTGTTGCATGCTGCCATTGTTGCGCACCACTGTCAGAAAGGCTTCAGCCTAGATCCTGCTTAAGTTATTAATACTTTTTACAGGGGTTTTGCCCTTCTTGCTTATGGGTAATAATATTCTTTGGATGTTGTTTTCTTTGTTTGTTTTGATGGCTTATGCTGTTTTAAATGTTATTTGGTTATTAGCTACTTTAAGCTTTAAAATGCTTTCTTTAAATATAGGAACTATTTAAGTAACTAGTAATGCAAATTTCATTACTCTAGTTTACTTTTGCTATTTCCTTGTGTAATTATTCTATCCAATATAATTATTCTTTTCACTGAGTACTGCATGTGTTACGTCTTCTCAGCAGTTACTAGGATAATGCTCTAAGCTCTATTTGATATCCTCTGAGTTTACTTCATTATGCTGGGAATTCTATTCTGCAACTTTTACCTTCTTTCAAATTCTACTTTGCAACTTGGGACGTATAGTTTCAGGCTCGAGATAAAAAAGCAATGTAACTGCTTTTTGTTCACATATTTTAATGTCTCTTTATTAAAAATGAACTCTCAAATCTCCTAACTTGCCTGGAAGCAAAATATAAAGTTATACTAACATTTTATTAGCCTGGTGGGAAAAAAAAGATTTTGAGCATCCTAGCTATCTTGAAAGCAAAGCCAAGCAGTATTATTAGAAATTTTTTGGGGCTCCCTGCTAGTAAAAAGGACAAGGCTCATGGCAATATCTGGCTTTTTATGGACAAAGAAGTATGATGCTGACTACAATGTATTCCCATTTAGGGACGTTGCTATAGTGGGGAGTGTAAGACAAGAGATAATCAATGCAAATACATCTGGGGCAATAGTAAGTTAATTTATACAAAAATATTTCTTAGCATATTCTATCAGCTTTTTACTATGTTATGAATGAATTAAAAGGTAATGTTGTATAAAAATAATTTGTAGGGGCACTTTGGAATTTATATGTGCAGACTTAGTACTAATTCTCCCTACCCTATGTTGACATTTAAAAAGCTTCTCTCTCCTCTCCCTCTCCTTGTGTCTCTCCCTCTCTCTTTCGATCAATATATGTGATTTATATTATCCTCTATTGTCTGTGGGTGTTCCAGCATTTGGGGGAACAGGCCTTATTCTCAGAATCAGGATCAATGTAATTTAGTGTATCATGTTTGAAAAGAGGGGGTGGGTGAATCTGAATAAAGAACTATGTTGCCCTGCAGAAAGCTTCCACAGAGTTTTAGCAGAATCGGAGGATAAAATCTCTTCTCCTCCATAAAATATTCCCAAATAAGTCACTCTTACCTACAAATTAAAAAAAATTAATTGCAAACATACAAGATTTACTAAGGTTTTTTTTGTCCTTGACAAAAAGAAGTATCTTCCAGACCTTCTCATTGTATTAGGAAAATAACTCTATCTTTTGTTCTTGTTGTTTTTCTGCCTTCTTGTTCTTAATAGACAATATACAGTTTTTTATAATCTTATAACCCAGACAGAAGAAGCAAATTTTTTAGGCATATGAAAATTTTTGGGGACATTCACTTTTTTAAAAAGGAAATCATATGATACATTACTACTGTTATTTGGTTCTTTGCTTTTAATTTATTTAAATATACAGTGAGCAGTAAAACACTAAAAAGAAAAATAGGAAAAAAAACAAATTACAGAAAAGCAAAAACAAAATCATTTGGAAGAATATAGAAAATGTGTTGTCATCTTAGCAAGCGAGAGAGAACATTTTAAACATCCCTGTTATGTTCATAGTATATGATAGCTGTAGTAAAATTATTTATGGCATGATTAAACATTGGGAATAAAACCATTTTTAGCATTATTGGAAATGACCTTATTTTCTTCTACAGAGGCTTCAGGGTCTCACAAACACTGTTACGAGAAGCTTAACACAGAAGGTACACAGAAAGGAAACTGTGGAAAAGATGGAGACAAATGGATTCCTTGCCACAAACAGTAAGAATGCTAGATTTAATTGTTCTTAAACTGACTTGATTCTTGGCCTAAAAGACACAGGAGCAGAATTTTTCACTTTATTACAGGGAACCTTGCTTCCCGCAGAAGGTACTACTGAACTTTTGGGGGTCTCACGTAGCCTCAAAGATAACATGGGATACTGTGTGATGACAACTGGGGGAATAGAGAAGCATTTTTACACTCATTCAAGGCACTTTTCAAATTCACTTCGTCATTTTCAGCTCAATAACAGCTTGAATAGTAACACATTTTCTCATTTGATATGTTATCCATATTTTTCAGGTTTCTAATGGCCTGTAGCCCTTATTTATTTTTGGTATTTATTTATTTATTTATAGTATTTAAATGTAATCTTTCATAAAGCATATCAATGCTTGATAATTTTTAGCATTTGGACAACTTGCATTCTAGAAGTGAATGCGTAGCGTGACTATTTCTCACAAAGTTTAGAATTAAATTCTTGAATGAAAGAAGAATTAAAATCATTTGGAATTCTGCTATAGTGCAGTCCAATTGTATTTTTCCCTAGAGGCAAGTTTCTTAATTTGTCAAAATAGTCTTTCTCTTCCCATTCCAAAAAATAGCTTATTATGTATCTTGTCTTTGTCTTACAGTGACGTGTTCTGTGGATTATTGCTTTGTGCAAATCTTGATGGGGTTCCACGAATTGGTCACCTTCAGGGAGAAATTATTCCAACTTCTTTTTTCCACCAAGGTGTTGTAGTAAACTGCAGGTATGTAAAATCTGATTCGGTGTGCAAGACTGGCTTTTTCAGTTTACCTAAAAATTTGAACATTCAAACAGATTGTTTCTCAATAAATTAAGTTAAAACAAAATTTAATTAGTTGAGTTTAATTTCTTATGATTTTTTTTCATTGTACTGGCTTTGAATAGGTTGTTTAATACAGATGTAAAATTATTCTACTGTTACATTGAGATAATTTGAAATTCCATTGTTTCAATGTTGTCAAATTAATTTTCATTTTTCTTTTCTTTTAGTATGTTTCTTATTTAGACACACAAAATTGTTCAAAACAGCAAACATCCATAAATAGAGTGAAAAAAATAATCATATTATTTTGCTTCCTGGATTTTCAGGAATTGGATTTCATTTATGCATGCTATAAATATTTTACATCTCTTTATTCTGATGAAGTTTAATAATGCTAGTAACAATTTAAAACTTCTTCTTGTAGTTGTGCACATGTACTTTTAGATGATGAAACAGATTTAGGATATGTAGAAGATGGAACTCCCTGTGGTCCTAATATGATGTGTATGGACCGAAGATGCCTCTCTATTCAGTCCTTGAACATAAGCAGCTGTCCTATGGATGCTAATGGAAAAGTTTGTTCGGGACATGGGGTAAGTCCCAGGTCAGCAGAATATGTGACAAACCATTTCATAGAAAAACATTTTTCTTACTTCTAATCTATACTGATATCTTTACACATGAAGACAGAAAGCATACATTCCTGATAGGATGTACAATAACTTACCCTTTCATCTCATTAACTTTTATTAATTTAGCCATTCTTATTTTCTTCTACAACAGGACTGTCAAACTCACGGTCCACAGGCCAGATGCATCATGTACTGGCAATGCCCATGCCTGGTTTAGTGAAGGGGTGGGTAAAGTCCCAATACACCATCTTATGCCGCCATGATGATGCAAGTTTGACATCCCTGTTCTACTACTACTACTATTTACTCCTGGGGTTTTTATTACTACTGTTTATGCCTGGAATGGAACAACATTATTCTATAAAGACATATAATAGAAATATTGTACAGAACCATAATTATCAGAGTTACATGCAGAACCCAGTTTGGCATACTTATGCAAAGGATTGTCCTCCATTGAAATACAGCTTTTTCTCTGGTAGCTATAATTCCCCCTCTTCCAGTGGTGGGATTCAAATAATTTAACAACCGGTTCTCTGCCCTAATGACCGGCTGGGTAGGTGTGGCTGGGTGGTCATGTGACTGGGTGGGTGTGGCCAGAGTGGGTGTGACATGGGACTCATGTGGTGCTAAGGCAGGACTTCCCTGAGACCCTCACTCACTCTCATTATGCAGATAATCCTCTAGTTACAAATGTAATAGAGCCTGCCAATTACATTTGTAACTTGGGGATTTGTTTGATTGAATCACGTTAAATAAACGTGATCACTCTGTGCTTTCCCCAATGCATTTGTTAATCAAATGCACAGGTCATTAAATGCACATGAGGTATCTAAGGCTGGGGAGCCTCCCCCAATCCACTGAGATACCTCATGCTGCCCACAATTGCTTCCCCCCATCCTGCTCCGCCAGGTCTCTACGGACTGGGCCTGCTTTGCTAGCATCCCAGATTCCACTTACTCCTCCCCATTCCATTTCCCATGGATTACTTACTTTTTGAAGATCTCCAGAGGTCCAGAAGAGGCAGACCCACTGGCAGAGAAGCCAAAGTGTTTTATTCAGCTGATGGTAAAGCTGTAAAAATGTGAAATCTAAGGAAAACATTTTCACCATCTTCTGAGTAAAAGACTTTTGCTTAGGGCCATGTAGCCAGCAGGCCTCCTGCTTTAGGACAGCTTCAGGCATTGAGGTAGCAACAGCAGCCAATCAACGAGGAGCT